GGCCAGCGACATGGGGGCGGGGTCAGCAACACGGGGCAGGGCCAGCGGCCTCCGATGTCACCGCCCCCTCCGGCCCCCTCCACTGTCACCTATCCCGGTCACCCCTGGACACCCCCACAGTGTCACCTACCCCTGTCACTCCCACAGTGTCACCTACGCCTGTCATCTGCCGTCACCCCCAGTGTCGCTACCCCTGTCACCCCCAGTCACCCCACTGTCACCTCTCCCTCTGTCACACTCCCCAGTGTCATCCCTTGGGCACCCCCCACACTGTCACGTCCCCTCAGCACTCCCCAGCCACCCCACCGACAGCATCACCTCCCCCTGTCACCCCTCAAGACACTCACACACACAGCGTCACCTCCCCTCAGCACCCCCCAGTGTCCCCTGTCACCCCTGGACACCCACACAGTGTCACCTCTCCCTGTCACTCCCAGACACACCCTCAGTGCCACCTCCCCCTGTGTCCCTCCAGTCACCCCCACCCCCAGCGACACCTCCCCTCAGCATCCCCCAGTCATCCCCAGTGTCACCACCCGTCACCCCCAGACACCCCACTATCACCTCTCTCTCAGTGACACTCCCCACTGTCACCCTTCAGACACACACACACACGGTGTCACCTATCTCTGTCACCCCCAGTGTCCCCTACCCCTGTCACCCCGGGCACCCCACTGTCCCCTCTCCCTCACACACACTGCCTAGTGTCACCCCTCCGACACCTCCACACACTGTCAGATCCCCTCAGCATCCCCCAGTCACCCCACCCACAGTGTCACCTCCCCCTGTCACCCATCAGACACCTCACAGTCACCACCCATCACACCCACCCTCAATGTCACCTCTTCCTCCACTGTCCCCCCTGCCCCCTCATACCCCTACCTTAGCGCCCCAGGACCCCTTTGCCCCCCTCCCGCCAGTGGGGGACCCAGAACGACAGCAGCACTGGTCTGGGGGCAACCTGACCCCCACCCCGGGGTCCTACACTTTTTTAAGGCACATTTGGCCATTTCAGGTGGCACCAGGCAAACACTTACCTGCGTGCAGAGCGCCATGGCCGCCCCGCGGCGCCCGCTCGGCAGGGACGAGGAGGCCAGAGCCGTGGGGAAGGACGGGTGGTGGCGGGCAGGCTGAATGTTAATCAAAAAAAACCCCAAAAATGACGTTGGGGGAAATGCAGCCGGAGCAGTGAGGTCAGCGCAAGGGGCTTTTCACAGGGGAACTCAACCGAGAAAGGTCACAGCAGCAGGGTTTGTCACTCGGGGTCCCCAGCCCCTGTGTCCCCTGGCCCAGCTCACACGCCGGGGGCTGCCAGAGCCCTCCCGATGGGGCGGCACGAGGGCTCTGGAGCTTCACAGCCTCCCGTGCTGCAACAGTCTCACCACGAGGGGAATTCACCGGTCGGGGGGGGAAATCCTCCCCGGTCAGAACTAGGGGTCGCCAGTTGCGTGCTACCACCAGCGGATCGGCTGTGGCATCTCTCCCGGGAACATCAGCTGCGAGGGTGGCCCCGGGGGGCAGACCAGGGAGGCTAGTCAGGACTGTTGAGGGTGGCCCACCACGGGCTTGCCCGCAGTGGCACCAAGCCCCCTGCAAGGGTCTGCAGGCTGCTGAGATGATCCCCGCAGGGCTGGTAGGAGTGACTGCAGGGACAGCCGTGGGGGCTGGGGATGAGGTGCATCCCTAAGCACATGGCGCCACCCAGACGGGCAACGCTTCCCTCACTCGGCTGCAACATCCCTTTTTCCCGGCACAGGGAAAG